GTTAATGGAAAACAGCCTTAAGGCACACAATTACACACGGTTACTAATTTACAGCAGTTTTACTTCTTTGAAAATTCTCAATAAAAACCATGCGCTGACCCAATTCGGGGCTCAGTCTTCTCTGGCTGAGTCCCTTGGTCTCGCTCTTATCTTACTTTTGTCTCTTGTTCTTATTCAATCTGCATCTCTCCTCTCGAGACCCATTTGCCCTTGCCACGCAGGATGTAACAACAACTGAATGCAATGTAGGACCCTGGAACGGAAAAAGGAAATTAGTGGGAAAACTGGTAAAATCTGAATAACGTCTGGAGTTTAGTTAATCATAATGCACAGTGTTAATTCTTTAGTTTGGAAAATGGACCACAGTCATGTAATATAATAACGTTGCGGAAAATTGAAATTGGGTGACAGGTATACAGGGACTCTGTACTATCTTTGTAACTTTTCTATAAATCTAAAACCTACAATGGAGAATAAAAATAAAACTTCCCACAAGTCGTGAAAATAGTTGTAACATATTAAAGTAAGATTTCTCTTCACACACAACTTCCACAAGTGTAGAGGACAGACTTGTATCAAATGCCTATCTATAATACCTGTATTTAACACTTTTCTTGAGGCCTATAGCACCATTTTGCTAAACCTGGAAGTTAAAGGTTTACAGATTTGAATTCCCAGAGCATAAAAATCAAAGTCCATTTTCCTAAAGCTCATTTAATTCTTGAAAAGAACATTGCACTGAGAAGTGATCTCAGCGATGTTTGATGAATTCAGATGGGTCATTTGGCCTTTCTGAGCCATGGTTTTCCCATCTACAAAATGAGGCCCCTTCCAGTTCTAAAATTTTATAAGTATTCCTCTCTCAAATGTTTTAAACATTGTTTGAAGGTGTGGTATCAATTCTGAGGAGCAATATTACCATTTTGATTAGGCAATTCCACAAACATTTATTAAGCAGCAATCACTGTGCTAGGCGTAAATGCTTGCCCTCCAGAGGTCTCCGTCTGGTGAAAGAGACAGACATGCAGACAGGCTGTTACAGCCTTGTCACAAGGGCCCTAAAGGAGGTGCACTGCTGCATAGGGAGGCATGGCTTCACCCTGCCTATAGAGGCTAGGGAAGGCTTTGGACCTAAGAAACTAGGAGGATCATGAAATAGTACCATTTGATCCAGCCAGAGTTGGTGAGCAATCAGTCCTATAGTAATAAACACTTACGCTAATTGGCTGTGTATGAAAATTAGGGATCACTGGATTTTCCCATCCACGAATTTCTGCTGTCAGAAATTTGGTTGTTGCAGAGCTGGGCCAGAAGAGCACAAGTGACTCATATTGTAGATGCGCTCTCTTGGGAATATTGATATGCATGAATTATGTCCCCTGAGGTGACTTAATTGGTGTCACAGAAACAACATAACTTTCTAGAAAAGGCCATGTAGTGCCTGTCGTATTCTGTCATTTCTAAATCAAGCCTTCATTTAAAAAATCCATGCCTCTCAGAGCATTCCATTTCCATCTCACAACTGAACATTTGTGGCTTAGGCCTTGCAATCTTCAGTCTTAGTGTCCAGTTTTGCTTTTAAATTCTGAACACCATGGTAGAAAACTAAAATTTAGGATTCCTAAGCAAAAGTCCAAAATTGGCTCTTCCTTTGACCCTAAGCTTGCAAATTCTGAATAATTCTATTTGCGCAGAGCTTTCTTTAGTGAGGAGACTATGACTGGTGTTGGGGGTGGAGTTTTGCCACTTAAATGAAGGGGTGGGAGAGGGAGGGGGCCCATGATTGCCTTCTCCTGGGATGTTGCCCAAACCAAGCAGGAATACTGGAGAGGGGTACAGAAAACTGGGAGATGTTACGTCTCCACTTCCCAGGGACCAACGAGAGAAGTGCCTTTTTGCTGGAAGCGATAATTCTGGAAAATTCCTCACCAGCAACAAGTGAGACCAGCAGAAGTGAAATAGCAAGCACAGACCTGAGAGAGCTGGGCAACATGCACAACAGACAGAAGCACATTCCCACACTAATCTCCATGCCAGATCACCACGTGTGTGGACATGAGAGGGGCCAGGTGGCTGTGGGAGGTTTTCTCCCAGAGCAGAGCTGCCAGGGAAAACATCTGGGGCAATAAGAAAGTTCTTTCTAGGTATACACAGAGACCTTTAGTTTCTTAAAAAAAATAAATAAATTGGCATTTATGTTTCTTTTTCTGATTCTAAATGTAACAATAGCTCATAGAGAAAACCTCACAAGTTGCAGAGAAGCAGAAAGAAGACTATAAAGAACATCCATTATATCTTTATCCAAAGGTAGTCACTATTCAAATTTTAGTGAGTTTCTTTCCAGGATTTTATATGTACAGATTTTCAACAGAGTTGAGAGAATACTATATGTACAATTTCGTATTCTGTTCTTTTTTTTCTTAATAGCATGACATAAGAATTATCCTAGGTTATTAAAATGCTTTGTAAACATTCTTCTTAGTGGTTGCACATTTTATCCTATGATAAAATTTATTGAACTGACTCTGGGTGGTGAAAACACAATGTGATATATAGATGATGTATTACAGAATTGTACACCTTAAATCTATGTAACTTTATTAACAATTGTCACCCCAATAAACTTTAATTTTAAAAAAACTTATTTATTCTAAATCCTAAATTATTCATTCAGTCAAGAAATACTCATTAAGAAAAATGTATTTATTCACTTAAGAGCCAAATGATGAATGTGTTCTAATTTCTTAACTATTCTCTGTTGTTGGTTATTCAATCGTTGCTTATTTCATAGCATTTTTTCTTTTCTTGGAGGATCTAAGCCAAATATGAAAATAGGGAGTCAGACTGAAGAAGAGGGTTGAAAAAATACTGGGAGCGGAATTTGGGCTGAAAGCATGAGACAAGGAAGAGGGTCCAATTGGAGCTTGCTTTCCTACCACTAAGGCATCCAAAGGATATTTCCCACAAAGCCAGGAGTTATTCATGGGCGAAGGAATCTTTGTGGCACTGACATTTTGTAATGTAATGATGGTGATTCATTAACTGTTGCATCATTTCCGGATTTGACCAGTACACCTTCCTCACTCTTGGGTGCTGACTAGATGTGGCCCACGCCTGGCCAGCACTACCAGTGCTCGCAGCTGTTGGGTTAGGAAAGGGAAGTGCTAGCTTAGCAGGAAATGTGAGGCACGCAGCTTTTTCAGCAGGGTGAGTAGAGCTATTTTAGCCCCTACTAAAAGTCTTCAGGTTGGACTTGAGTAGGGATGAATATGTAGTCTATTTCCAGAACCATCCTAATGGGATAGACCCCTTTGGAGCATCCTGCCCCTTCCTGGTGTTCTCCCTTCATTGACTGTAGTGCAGGGGGCAGCAGCTACCCCTATGCTAGCATAACTTCTCTCGCCTCTGTAGAGTTCTTGATAAAGTGTCTAAGACATTTCTGTGTTTGTTGAAAGGACTCACATCCTATGTTCTGATCTTTCTCTATCTTCGACATTCAGCTATAGCGGAACTCCAGAAATTAAATATGTCAAGACTCACTACCACACCTTCTTTTAGGTACAGTGTTATCCTGAGAAGGGCACTTACCTGATAAACAGCTCCTGGAAGAAACATTCAGAGTTATCCTGAAGGATAATGAGAGCATGTGACACAACATGAAGCTTACAGGAAAGTATCTAATATTAGAAGTAGTTGGACTACATATATACCTTGCATTACACAATAGATATTTCCCTGAGAATTTACGAGACAATCAAGAGGAATAGAAATTAAGGGCACAGAAACCTGGGTTTGAATTTGGCTCTGACAGCTACTTGGCAGCTATTTGACTCTGGACAATTTATTTAACCTCTCTAAGGCTCAGCTTCTTCCCCTACATGAGATTATTATTAGAATGCTTCATTACAGATGAGTAAAGGAGATAATGTATATGAAGTTATCTGTATCTGGCACATGGGAGGTACTCAGTAAATGGTAAGCTATTATTTTTAAGCAGAGTGGAAGTGATTTTAAAATTAATTAAATCAGCAAATATTAATTGAGGACTATTAGGGGCAGTGTGATAGACTCCCCCCCCTCACCCTCCCCCCACACACATATATACTTTATCTTTTATGGAAACTGAATTTTTCTATATGCATTCATTTATATTAAAATGATAACTTTACCTTTTTCAACACAGTAGATTTGTTACACTATCTACTAACTTCTAAACAAGTCTCAAAGGCTCCTCCAAAAGATAGGAATATCAGTGATAATGTCTCTTACGAGCCCATTACTTAATTCTTCAAGAGTGAATTGTGTTCACTACTTATTTATCTATTCTAAAAGAGAAATTTCTTCTCAATCATTTAACTCTGAGGTTACCTTTCATAATTTTTTAAAGATACAGGGTGTTTTTAACCTCAGAGTCCTATGCAAAGTATTTAAAGAAGTATTCTTCCTTTGTATTTTTACACAACTATTAATTTTGCCTCACTTGAAAGAAGGATGTTAGTTCCTATAAATGATGTCCTATAAATGGGCATCAGTTCCTCCCTAAATAAAGGTATTTCAACTTGCACCTCTCCTAAGACTGGGGTGACCCAAAGAAGACATACAAATAGCCCATAAGCACATGAAAAGATTATAAACATAATTAGTCATTAGGGAAATGCAAATTAAAACCACAGTGATATACCACGTCACACCCACTAGGATGGATATAATAAAAAAGATGGACATACAAGTGTCGGCGAGGATGTGGGAAAATTGCAGCTCTCACACATTGCTGTGGGAATGTAAAATGGTGCAGCCACTTTGGAAAACAGTTTGCCAGTTCCTCAGAATGTTAAACATGGAATTACCATATGATGCAGCAATTCCACCCCTAGGTATATATCCACAAAAAATGAAAACATACATCCACACAAAAACTAACCTATTGCCAATGAGGGCGAAGAAGCCAAGAGTTCACAGTCTATACTCCATTTTATCTGAAAAATAAAAAGCAGCAATTAAAGACCAAGGAGTTACCAGGTATCACCCTCGATACTTTGCAGAGTTGGCCCAGTATTAGACAAATAAACCAGTCTGGAAGACTCATGCTTCCAATTGATGAGATCAATCTAAAAATTGCTACAGAATTTTTTCAAGAGCAAAAAATAAATAATAAATAAATGAGCAAGGAAAAGGGGGTGAGGGAAGTGCTTTTGATTTGCTTTTATAGCATTAAGACTGGTTTGGATGAATCTATTCACACACTTTCCCCTAGATTCCAAGAGATAACGGTATGTTCTATGGCTATAATAAGAGTTTTTCTTTATGTAAAACTTGATACCTTGGCCTCATTATTTCCAGGCCTCCCAATTCTTACATCTGCAAAATTAAATTATTGTCTTTAATAAGCAGCAAGAGGTGTCCTCAGATCTCAGACAGAAATGGTATAATGTTGATACCATTTGTTATGTGTACTTACTGTACCCTGCAATTCTTTTATTAAGGAGGGGCACATCTCTGGCCACCCGGCATACACTGAAAGAATTAGACCTTAGAGGTGGCTTCATTTAATTGTTGGGAGAAGGTACTTTGTAAACTTTGAGAAATGTTAGGGATTTCCCAAAGACTTCAATGGAAAGGTGAAGGAATTAGGTTACAGGTCAGACAGCAAGCCAGTAACAGAGCCAACATATGAACCTAGACTTACGGTCTCCTTTCCCCCTATTATCACATTTGGCCTCCTTAGAGCTGATAAAATATTACCTCATATTCGTCTAGCTCTAATGCCACATCAAGTTCTGCAAATACACTCTCTCCTTTTGGCCCCTCAACAACACTGTGTGCTAGGGACAATAAATGCAATTGTTCTCCCATAGAGAATAAGAAGGTTGCCGCTCAAGAAGACACACGATAGTCTGTAACAGAGTCAAGACTAGAACCCAGTTCTCCCAACTTCCTCCGCATGGATCTTTCTACTATGCCATCCTGTTTGGTGCCATTTTCCACTGAACTTTGGAAAACAAGTTTGAGACACCAGAATTAAAAAGACAACTCATTAAAAATACATATTTTGTAGGTACAAAAATGAAATACTCAAAATCCCTCTGCCCCCTCTCCTGCTGGGAACTTAAACGTTAAACTGAGTTTTCTAGTTTTGCACAAATCCACAGCAATGAACACTTTGCACTGTTAAGGGAGCTACTTTTCTAACAAATGCATCGTAATCAAATTGAAACAAAAATTTAAACACATGAAATAGAAGGGAAGAAACTGTGTGTAGTCCTCCCCTACTCCTGGTCCACATTTGTCTCTATTTTCATGACTGAGTTTCTCAAGCCAGGGGCACATGGCCAACGACTATTTGAAATGGCAAGTATTCCAAAGAACACCTACCTAACAGATTAGTGGGTGGAAAGCGCAGCGCCCGGGGGGCAGTGGATGATCTGAATTCCAGACTGAGTCCTCTCCAGTCTCAATCCCGGAGTTGCCCTAAGCAGCCACCTAAACTTTAGGTGCTTTCGTTTACTGCAATATGAGGGGACTGGGTCATTGCACACAGAAGAATTTAAACGTGTAATTGTATTCACGCTTTGCATACTTAAATCCATAAATGTAAATCAAAAACCGTTGCATACACTATTAAATTTACTTCGTCAGAAGTCGCGTCCTCCTCCCCTTCCCTAAAACACTCCTGGGCCTCCTTCGGTGGATCTGGGCGGGGCTTGTCCCAGCGCAGCAGAAGTCAGTCCGTGGATCGACTGGCTATAAAATTGGGAGGCCCCGGAGACTTGACCCTGAGCCCCCGGCCGTCCCTAACCGTTCCTAATTCCGGGAGGCCCCGCGCACCGGCCTGCGCTCCCCGGGCCCCGCCACCTGTTCTGGGCAGCCAATGGGCGCTCGGGGGGGGGGCGACCCGGGCGGAGCGAGACTACAAAAGGCGTGGACCGAGCGGCGGAACACCCCGCTGCGGGCGCACTCTCGGGAGGTCGGACAGACGCGGCCCAGCGCCAGGACCATTCGGCTCGGGGATCCAGTCGGGCGCGGGGCGATGCTGCGGGTGCGGTGTCTGCGCGGTGGGAGCCGCGGCGCCGAGGCGGTGCACTATATCGGGTCTCGGGTGCGTGCGCCGCCAGCCTTGTCCCCTCGCTTTCCTCAGCCAGCATTGCCTGACCACGTCCCTTCTAGTCTCTCCCTTGGAAGCTCGGCTTCAAGAGCCTCTGCTGGCTGCCGGGAGATTAGTGGTATCCCCGTTGGGGCCACACCCCGTGGGTACAGCTGCTCTCTGCGCGTTGTGGACCGCGGTGGCCGTTAGCTCAGGGGGTGCCACCCTCCCCTGCCGGACCTCGTTTCGCTCTCCACGGATCTTGCGTCCCGGAGTGAAGGGGTGGGACGACAAGTAACACCTTTCAGTAAACGGGTGGTGTTATTGTGGTTCATTGTATTGGGTGGGCGTAGAGTTGGGCAAGCGTGTGGCGTGGATGGACGAGAAAAAGAGGCAAAATGTGAATCCGGGGACGGAGAGAAGGAGCAAGCAGGCCCACTCCCAAGTGTAACATGGAGTCCTGAGTTGCCAGAGGAGTTGGAGCGAGTTCGGTCTGTACCCAGAGTTTCTGCCTGGTCCCCGCCCTCGGCTTCCCTGCGAGCACGAGCCTGCAGACCCTCCCTAGCTCCTAAAACAGAAACAGCAGGGCAATTTGGCTCCCCCAGCAAATGGTTCCAGAACAGCTGTCATTCTCCCCACCCTGTCATCCCCTCCTGTCTCCTTCCTAAGGCTTTTAACAGAGTCGGATAGAGATTCGGGGACTTGAGATTGGCTCTGTGGGTGAGGGACGCTCCCTGCTCTAGATTTTTATAGGCCCTGCATTTTCAAAAGGCTGTTTTGAAGCTCTTAGGTCACCTTTCCGGTTGTTTAAATTTGTGCCTGGGTTACTCCTTATCTTGGCTAGGGGACTGTGGACCATCTGTAAAATGGAGCAGATGGTACTTGGTCATTCTCAGAACTGAAGTGCCAAAGAATGTGAAGTGTGTGTCAGCGATGAAAAAATGTTCGATTTGAAGCTGATTATGCTGAAAGATAAGGTCCTTTACATATTTTCAGTTGGGAAAAAAAGTCTAATATTGGTAACCTTTGTTTGATACTGAAGGGGAACGGAGATATGGAGCAGCTTTCCATGGTTTCCTGGGAAGAGGGTGGGTGACCCATCACCTGCAGACGTGTTGCTTAAAGTTTGATTAAAGTTTGTTTGCAGAAAACCATTCTGAGATATAAATGGGGGGTGTAAGGTCTTTGGGGACAAAATCTTCTAAGGGGTTTTAAAGAGTTATGCCAATTAGCATATCATATCAGAAGATAATGCATAAATAAATAGAAAGGTAAAACTCACCTGTAACCCCACTACCCACCTATAAACTAACATCTTGGTTTACACTCTCCAGAAGGATTTTAAATGTCTCACTATGTTATCCTGGGTTTTCATCCCACCTCTATTTTCCCCTCCCCGCTGAAGTACTGCATAGGACTACACAATAATATTTTCTTTGTTCTTGGAAGCTTGGAAGAACCTTAACAGGATGGGTGCAGCGAACTTTCCAAAGCACCCAGGCAGCTACGGCTTCCTCCCGCAATTCCTGTGCAGCTGATGACAAGGCCACTGATCCTCTGCCCAAGGACTGCCCTGTCTCCTCATACAATGAATGGGACCCCTTAGAGGAAGTGATAGTGGGCAGAGCAGAAAACGCCTGTGTTCCGCCATTCACCGTGGAAGTGAAGGTAAAGCAAGGGTGTTCACATGTCTGAAGGGTTCACACCTCACCTTCTGCCTCGGCTCTCACTCACTCCTGTAACCGCTTTCACTTTAGCTTACTCCAGAAGCCCCAAATCCAGTGGTTGATTTTAAGTTATCTTACTTGGCATCTCTGCAGTATTCTACACCAATGATAACTCCTTCCTTTGGGTTCTGAGAGACTCCTTTCTGGAGATAATAGTTCTCTAGCTGTTCCTCACATCTTCCTTCACTGTCTGTGGTGTTGGAGTTGAATAGAATTTCACTTTTGGCCCTCTTCTATTAGCTGTTCTCAAAGCTTCACATCCCACCTCCACTCTGGTCCAGATTTCTCTCCTGAACTCTGTCCAGATCTACATGTCAAACTCCTCACTGCATATTGCCACAGGACCTCAAACTTGGCACATCTTGAAGTCAACTGCCAGTCACTGCTAAACTGAACTGTCTTCATTTTTTCCTTTCAATTTTTGGCATTCCCATTTATTCAAGCTGAAACACCAAAGAACCATCTTTGATTTCTATTTCAGTCGCATCCTCCACATCCATTCACCAAGATCTAACAAAGCCTTGTGTCAAAATGAGCCTTGCCTCCAGGCCTCTGCTGCTGCCTTAGGACAAGGGTCTCCTGCCTGGACTATTGTAGTTAATGCCTAACGGGTCTCCCCCATTTGCTCTTCTTTCCATACCACCTTCCAAAATTTGATCATGTTACTCATCCTGCTCTTATCACTCCTCTATTTTCCACTATCGCCCCCCCACCCTGGAATTTATCCATGAGGATAAAGTCCTCATGGTATTCAAGATCCTTCACAATCTGGCTCTTGTCTGCCTTTTCAGGAACCCCCCCCCACCCCCTCATTTCACCCACTGACTCACTTAGAGATGTGTTAGTGTGGCAGGCTAGCAGATATTCATTCCTGTTTAGATCTCTCTCACCTCTAATATCTCACCTTGGTTTTCAGCAGACTTTGTAAGAAAACCATATAAGCAGCCAAACTAGACTACGCTCTATTCCCCAAACGAGCCTCATGCCTACCTAGGTCTCTTCCACCCATCTTGCTGCACTCCTCTTACTACCACTTGGTTCCAATGGCACCTTCCACAAGGCCTTAGAGGACTTCCCTGTATTAAGTAATACTTCTCTTTTTAAAACTCCTAGTATTCTTCATCTATAATATTCTGTGGCCAGGGCCTCCATGGGTTGGTGTTCAAGTTGTGTACTGCATAAGGATCGCATACCTACAGGACTGCCATCAACATTGTAGACACAGCCTAAGCTTCCATTAATAATGGGTTACAAATATATCTTCACTGCACTTAAGTGCTTCTTGAATATTTACATTTGTATTTATATGTGGATTGAGGAAATAAGTTGTTACATGATTGTCATCAGCATCAGAAAGGTTGCCTACCTTGTAGCAGGGTTCCAGAGGTATTAGCACAAAATAACTTAGCCTTTAGAGAGATACGATGTCACACAGAAACAAAGACTAATACCAAGTATCTTATGCCAACCAACTGGCAAGGCAATTAAAATGAAGTGCCAAGAGAACTAAGGAAAAAGCAATAACCAAGTGCTGAATAGGTAGGAAGTCTTCTCAAAGAAAATGATTCTTGAGTTAAACCTTGTAGACAGAATAATAGAAAAAGTAATAACTTCTAATTGTTCTGAAACTCCCTTTGGTTCTGGTATTTGAAATTTGATGAACAGATTAATTTATATGTTATCCACATGTTTTAAAAGGCATGATCTTTTTTAAGTCTTTTCTTGGAAAGATGTCCCATCCCCTACCCATTTAAATTGGGTAAAATTAAATTTCAAATTCAGGCAATAGTTTATCCTCCTACTTGGCTTTAAAATCATTGATTTTTATGCTATGTGATCTTATAGAATCAGAATTCTCAGACATTATTTTGAGTTTTTTGTTCCTTGACTTATAACTTTAGACATTGTAATTTCATGGACTTGTGGGAAGTGTATCATGCTGAAGTCAGGAGCTCAGGGTTGAATTAGGTATTTGATAAAACTTGTTAGCTAGTTGCAGTTAATAAGCTCTTTGACCTTGTGCAAGATTTCACAAATTTCTGGGCCTCGGTAAAATAAAGATATTAAAAAGTTTGCTATCTACCTAATAAGATTAAATATGTAGGTAAAAGTTTACATGTTAAGTATTTTAAAGGACAAAACCATAACTCATAGTTGTATGGGCCCAGTTTGTTAATTACATTAAAAGGTACATTGGGGATGTAATGGTTGCAGATAATAGTAGCATTAGCAGTATTGATTTCATTTGTTTGTCTGGTTATTTCTGCTTTATGCCACATATATACTAAACTAGATATTGAGGGAGAGGAGAGTAATTCTAAGACATGCATGGCCCCTAGAAGGCAAGGCCTTACCTTGTAGTTGAAGGAAAATGACACAGATGTATTAATCAGTTTTGGGAACAATGAAAGCTAAAACAAT